ACACACACACACACACACACACACACACACACACACACACACACACACACACACACACACACACACACACGATTACTTTTGAAAATCTTTCTCAAGCGCTAAAATTCACTGCAAACATTACTGAGCAAAAATAAAAAGTTGGCTTCGTCTTCTTGAGGCGGCTGGAGCAGATCTTCACAAAATACATTAGAATTCCTCCTATTTTAGTTTTATTTTATGTTAAGAAGCCCACTAAAGAATCATCCAGAATATATGTATATCATGTATATTCACTAAAATTATTTGGGGTGATGTAATTACAAAAAAAAAAAAAGAAAAGATGGAAGCAGTTTAGTAACAACTCTGAGACAATGGTGAATTCCGAATGCAGAATTTTTCTCTATTTGACTAGACTTTGCTTTCGTTCTGCCCTAACTTGTTCTCATTTGAGGTTGGATTTGAGAAATAATGTAAATGCATTCAAATACACCACAAGCTGACTTTAAATATCCATGCTTGATTTGATTTAGTACTTTTAAACTTAACTGACAGTCTGYAAGTCAGATTTGCTACCACACAAAGTTAAGTCAGCAGTGCTTCTAGTTTGAGTGAAGGTTGCTTGACTTTATTAATCATCTATTATTTGTCATCCCCACATTTAGGGGGTTTTCATGTCTGTGATTCAGTAGAAGACTTGCTTGCAGCTCTGATAACATAAAGTAGTCTAACCAGACAACACTGACTGATATCTACTAGCAAACAAACAAACAAAAWAACTGTTTCAAAAATTGGACATGAATAGTTCTCCAGGTTGTTCAACGAACAGATTTAAAAGCCATTTGTGAGTAAAATTTGTTCAGTTTCTACAGTTATGTTTCAAATTGTGAAAAAAAAGTTCCTATCAGTGTCATGCAGAAAAGAAAGGTTGRTGAGGTCAAAATCATTAAAAACTTCATGTCACTTAAAACTTGTGTATGCATTGGACAGTTGCCAACACATACACAACAAGTAATAAATTCCGATTATCGTAACAGGAGTTAATATGAACTATTCGTGTTCACACGTTTTTGTTCAAGGTGTTTGAAACATTGTCATTTGTTAGAAAATCAGAGCTTAAAAACTAAGTTCTAAAAATATAAAACACTTCTGCATGTTTGACAAGTGATGAAAGCCGTTTCGTTTTGAAAAGTAATCAGAAAAAGTGACATTATTAGCAGTGATCTGAGTGAAAGCACAGCTGAGGTGTCACAGGGTGAGATGATGTACATGGAGAATGTAAACCTAATGACTGTTGGTTCATRGAGTGAACATGTAAATCTAAGGGGACAGCATCCTCTAGAGGAAAGATTAGATATCACAATGTTGATGCATTAAATCAGGATTAGAGGTAAAAGCTTATGATCAATATGTAAATCTACCTTTATTGCACTTAGTTTGACTTAAGTTTTTTGTTATTACGAGTGTTGTGTTTTTATTTTGAAGTTTGCTGCTGAGACAAACCAACAGCATCAATAATATATCTGCTTTGATTAARTACATGATTTATTTTAATGTGTGCTTTACCATCAATTAATGATACTTAATTTAAAATGTAAAATAAGGGATTTGTTTGGGATAAAGGACTAAAACTATTTAGGTGGTTCACAAATATATCGTAGAATAAAGATAAATCCTAAGCAGTGGACAAATCTCTTCACAAAAAAAGCACTAACATTTTTACAGCTGTTTTTCTTTTCCTTTGTGTAATGAATTCAGCATCAACTCCACTGAATTTATTTTCTCTTTTAGATTTGTGCTTGCATCAAAAGGGAAATGTTCATTTGCCTTTAGGAGAGGACATGCAGGGCAAAAAATGTGAATTTATTTTACGTTTTAAATCACCCACTGCCATGTGTTTCCCAACTTATACTCTGAGCACTGACGGTTTAGAATCTGTTAAAYTTTGCCCTTTAATATTGGAGTTAACTTTTTTAACTAACATTACAACACTGTCCTCAGATCATTTCAAATAATTAAAAATGTTGTATCTCCTTACACAATCAGCAAAACGTAAGCAGCTGATATGCAACTAATCATGTCAAATGAAAAGTATGATGGGAAGTGCTTGCTGCTTCTGAAACTGAAAGTGGTCYAGGAAAATTCCTTCAAAATAAAGTCAGAGGAAGATATTTTACTTATGAATTTATTAAGAATATTTTCTCTCCTGATTTCTCGGCCACCATGTGATGTTACGGGTTCAGCATAAAAGGCACAGTTTTAATCCTCTGAGCACATTATGACCAAAGGAATCATGAGACAAAGTCAGAGAAAGTACACAAATGGGAAAGCAACAATAAAATACAACACTTCTGGATGACTCCRTAATAAAAACAAAATGACAAGCTTGTTTCAAACAAAAACAATTCAGCCCCGTCGTCGTGAGAGTCGCATAACTWGATTTTCCTGGCGTTTTAAGGCTGTAGGCGTGTTGGAGTCAAATTATAAAGAAAAAAAGCAGGTTGGTAACGGTGTGTACCAGTAAACAAAAACAAAATATTAAATGGTAAATGGACTGTACTTATATAGCGCCTTTCTCCATCCAGGACACTTAAAGCRCTTCACACTTCAGACATTCACCCATGCACACACTGATGATGGCAAACTACAATTGTACTAGATGTAACATGTCAGCTGGACAGTTTAGTGTTATCAAACAGAATGCACTGTGGGTGCCCCTAACGTGGTCTGTACCATCCATCAACCACCTACACATCATGTTTTCTCTTTGCAGTGGTGAAATACAAAATAAACACCTTAGGATAAAAAAAAAAGTGCAGCTATAAATCTTAGTTTTTKTTTATAAACAGTACCATTACAAGTGTAGTGTACACATCAGTGCTCCTCAGCTTCAGCTTTAAGAATCAAAAGCACATTTCCATCCTAACTTGTGTGGAGGTAGAAATACTCCAGCAAATCCACACAATCAGGGAAAAAAAGAAAAGAAAAAAGAAAAGGAAATCTCATTAAAAATTATAAACTGAATTCAGACACTTGTCATTTCCAAACAAGTGTCAGCCAATATTTTATGCACATTTGACACTTTCCCTCCACACTGTGTACCTCTGAAAAACATTAAAAGAAAAACTTATATAAAAAATGTGTACTCTCTCACTCTGATAGCGTTTAAGAAATAAATATAACATGCACGTCTTTACATGTAGTGCGTTATTTTCTGAAAGGAGGCAGACTTTTTTGCAATATGATCACTGTGTATTAAAATGAAGGAAGTTCATGTTTTCACACTAAGCTGTAACAGAAGATATGTACCTTCCTGATAATACTACAAATCGCAGAAGAAATAACCAATGTGGCAGGTAATATAAACACTCGGTAAATGAATTGAAATATATTCAAACTCGTCTCATGTCAGTCTTAACCATGATGTAACTGTATGTGCTGGGAAGGTTCTGTGGAAACCACAACAATCATTATTTGTGTCACAGAAACAGTCCCGTGTTTTGTTTAAATTAAAAACAAAAGTTTCAACACTATTTAGCCTTTTTTTTCACGTTAGAATTGTAAAAATATCTGACAGCATAATAAAAATCTGATTCCAAATCAGAAAACGGACACTAAACATTAATCATTTCTGTGACTGCTGGCTGATTCAGTTATATTTGCTGCAAATAAAATACACAAACAAGCAACAGGTATGACTACAATGTGACGGTTGGTCTGATTAAAAAAAAAAAAAAAACAAGTAAAGAAAAAGTTCTGTGTGTTGAGCTGGAAATAGTGTTTTAAGCTGTTTGTATCAAATGGTCTACGAGTCTCTGCAAGCAGGCAACACGCTGCTAGTCGTTGACTAGTCGATACACGTGGTACTGTGCTCCGTGTTCGCTGGTGGACACCTCGAACACGAAGGCAATGCACAGCAGAGTCTCCTGAGTTTCTCTGTTGGACACCACCTGATAAAAGAAAGAATAAATAAAACAGAGAACGGTCATTAAACATGAGCAAAATCATAGTTTCAGTACAACAACTAACAGAGGGAAAAACTGCAGCAAAACAAAACATTTTTAAAAGAAAAATATCCTGAAAACCCTCAAAGTGATTTTGAGGCAGGACAATGACAAACTACTCCAACAGAATGGAGGAAAATYAGTTAAAAATCTATGAAAAAAAAGAGAAAAACAACAATTTTGCCAAGAGGTGTTTGGAACCAGTCAGTTTGGATCAGCAGTAAAGTACCTGTAGAATAGTGAAGTTCTCCAGTACACTGTTCATCATGTACTTCTCTGGTAGATGTTTCAGTTTGTGGATGAAGTTGATCATGTATTCACACATGGGTGAACGGTGGATGCGAAAAATGTACTTCCCTCCTTCCAAATGGGCGTACTCAGTCTAAATGATAAAAATAAATAACATAAAACAATTTAAAACAGAAGCTTGTGTGTCGAAATCTGATTTTCTTAAGCCGGTGGAAGCCTTTTCTCACCTCCACCTTCTCCACGACCTGTTTGCCAAAAGAGCAGACTTTTGTAGAAACACTGATGGTGATGTTTTCAGATCCACTGTACTGGCTGCTCACTCCGTAGAACGCACCGGAGCCCTCCTCGATGTCGCCACTCAGGTCGGCCTAAAAAAAAAAAAAAAACACAGATGATGCACAGAGAGAGAATAGAGACAGCTTACACAGCCAATATCAAAGTTAAGTTTGTATTTTAGGTCAAATATTCCCAGTAGTTGATATTTTGTAATAACTCAGTCCCATGTGTTTTCAAATTGTAGGAGGAATGCTTATTTTGAGCACTAACCCAGAACTTGACGAGAAAGAAAGCATTGTGTGGCCCTTTTTCGTACAGCTCCTTCAGTCCTCCTTTCTTCTCTGAGAACTTGTCGTAAATCTGCCTCACATCTATAGACTCCAGCACGGGGTCACTGTAGCCAGGGTTTGAGGGCCCAATGTGAACAAAAAGGTGTTTATGCTGTAGGAAACAAACAGGGGAAAGTGATATAGAAGAGAACAGAACAGAATTTAATTTGACAATAATTCTGTAGGGGTGGGGCAAAGGGTTTGATAGAAGTACCGTCTCTCTGTCTCGTTGGGTCTCCAGAAAGGCAGAATACTCAAGTAGCCGTAGTTTTGCTGAAGCGATGGTTCTGTCCTGCCATACAGGAGCTGCGATCGCTGCAGGCCGAGGGGGTGGCAAGGCTTCGTAACCTGACGTATACCAAAAGAGAAAATAAATAATTACCTCATAATATTAAAACTGTATTACTGTATTGGTTTGTCCACTTACTGATAGGTGGGGGGACAGGTGCTGGTAGTGTGGTGTATGGAGGCTGTGCAAAGGGCTTAATGCTGTCGACGTAAAGAGAAACAAACAACAAAGAAGTTTTCGTTTAAGAATGAAATTCTGTCCTATATTATCAAAATCACCTAATCAGACAGTACTTACTCCTGAGAATGTCCAGGCTGTCCGGGAACAGGGCCAGGCCAAAACTATGCAATACAAAAAAAAAAAAAAAAAAAAAAAAAAAAAAAAAAAAAAAAAAAAAAA